ACCTCTGCAGGCCCGTACCCCCGGCGTTCCCTACAAAGATCCCTGAGCTGGACTCGAAGGTCAGAGGCTGAGCACTCCTGATGAAGGCAACCCGGTGGTATTCCTCACAGTCCATGTAGAGGCGCACCTACGTGTTGGGACAAGTGCACATGCTTGAGCTTTAAAACCATATGAAAAAAAGAGGAAAATGTAATTATATGGAACAGATGATCTGTGCAAACATCTTTATTCCTTGCATTTAGGCACACAGTAAGTGTATGTCTGAATTTTGGGACATAATACTCACATCTAAGGTCTGAAAACGAGAAAACTATTTAGCAGCCTGTTGCCATGTTGGTGTTTTAAAACCACATATGACAATACAGTAGCAACTTGCAATTTACAAGGTAGGCTGACCTAAAGAATATCACGCTTTATCCATTCTTTTGACTCTACTGCAGACTATAATTTACAAAAAGAGCATCACACACAAAACAGGACTTTAAACTATAGATTGAGACCACAAACTCTAGAACAGGGGTGTCAAACTCAAATATACAGTGGCCCAAAATTCAGAACTGGAACAAGGTCGCGGGCTAACATTAATATTTATTGAAAAAAAAATCTTCCTCCAGATTTAAGAATGAATCTTTTCTTATCGACTCAAACAAGTTTTGCTGAAAAACTGAATATGGAACAAGCAAAGCTTAATACTAAACAATGTATATATTAGCTGTATAATACCAGTAGGCCAGCTCTAATATTAATTTGGTATGGCTTTGCAGGCCAAATTAAATTAGGCTGTGGGCCAGAGTTTGACACCTATGCTCTAGAAAGTGTTTCCTGAGGCCACAGATAAAGATGCTGATTGATCATTTTTCCATAAACTTTTATATCTCAGACTTTGTTTTAGAAACACGAGTCACCCCCTGCTGGCCATAAGAAATAATGCAGGTTTAAGATGCTTGTGACTCACTTTTCAGACCTTGAAGGTATATCTACCTTATATATAGTGTCTATGTGCATAAAGGAATTGGATTTATCCACAAAGCGCAATGAAGCGCAGATGCACAGCCGTCACACAGCTCAGTTTCAAACAGCTTGTCCACGAAGAAAGCAAGGCGAGGTTATGTTACAAATCAAGTTGCCAAATCCCACTTTAACATAGCATAGAGTACACCAAGAGATAATTAGCATAACATCTTTAATCACCTCTGAACCCTGCACAGTGAGTGTAAACCTCGCCCATCTTCCTGTCAGGTCACCCATTTTGAATGAAGCAGCTTCCTGGGTGCGGCCTCTTGTTTCTGCGTCGGTGTAGTACAGTACGACTCTCTGGGAGCCATCCTCCACTTCAGACAAAGCCACACCTAATTGTACAATCTGAAGAACATAAAACATGTAGGAAAGCTTTAATATTTTCCTGGAAGGGAGCGAAAAACAAAGAAGAGATGTGGTGAACAGTGTCCTTACTTTCTGATATGCATCGGTGATGGCGAACAGCACTCCGCCTTGCCGGGTGGTCGGTTTGGCTGTGACTGTGATGGCAAAGTCGTGATAGAACGGGTCGGGGATGAACGACTTTGTAAGCCGCCCCACGTTGGCCTCCGGGCCGAAGCTGTAAGCGGGGTAACCCTCGAAGCCTGTGACGAAGGAGACGGAGGGAGGGAGGGGAATGCCAATTAACTCTGTCAGGTCCAAAGCTCCTCGAGGACCACGTTCTGCAATAGACGAGCAGAAAGGAGGAAGAATCTTGTTAGAGGAGGGAAAAAATATAATACTCATCCAAAAAAAACAACAACTCCAAAACAAAACAAGACTTAACACAAACTGATGTCAGGAAATTCAGACCAGGACAAACACGGAAACACTACCTGCGTCTAATTACTTCATATATAGGTAAGAGAGATCTGTGAGCAAATAACTGTGTTTATATACAAACACATACAAAAGCTCGCAACACTGAAATTCATTCTCTAAACATTTGTATGCAAACGCTGATCAAAAACACTCACAAATATCGCTGGAAATAATAAGAGATGAGACACTCCAGCTTCTGGCACCTAGTCCTTGACTAAATAATCAAGCTGCCATGTGTTATTTGGTGCGCTCTGTGTTTTGATGGGTGCTTGAAGGTGATGGAGTACACAGTCCATAGAGGGCAGGAGGCTAGTGGCAGTCTACAGCTCATATTTACTTCTGGGCCCCCTAGTGGGTTAATCCACTGGGGTCAGAGAGAAATGTTGCTCTAGAAATCCAAGCATTCCACAGCTGTGGACAGAGAGTGTAGGTGTGCTACACTCATCAAGTGTCATCTTTCGGCTGCCAAAAAGATAAATGTATAAAAATGATCATTGATGTACAGAAAAGTCGTCTGTTTCAAGCCTTCTAACTTTTGTCTTGAAACATTTTGGAGTTTGTCAGACATAACCGATAAAGTTTGAGAAGGAGCTTCCATCCGAACCATCATTATCATAGCTGCACAGTACGCATGCATGCACGGCTCTGCCACAATGTGTGTGGTGACTAACCCCCCTCCCCACCAAATAACATGAAAACCTATTTAGCAAACGCTCACAACGCTCTCCCTTTGTCACAAATGTGCAGGCCGTCTCCCCCACACCTGGTTCTCTTTAGTAGGAAGACCCTAGGAACAATCGTCTGTTCTTTCGGTGCGTACGGGCAACGGGATATAGAGCTTGGGCATCTGGAAGGCATTAAGCAAAACTAATACACACATGCTGTGCAGTGGCAGCTCCTGTAAATTAGACGTACCGTGTGGCGTGTGTACGTCTGTGTGCAGAGGAGCGGCAAAGACAAAAGAGGGGGGAAAGAGAGGCCGAGACAGCGAGTGCAAGCATCAAGTCTTCCGCAAGCATGATGTGTGCGTGCCCGTGTGTGGCCAGTAAATCTCCCCGCTGGAGGCCAGGCACACTTCTTCCCCCTCCTTCATTAATTGGATTGAAACTGCTACAGACTGTGGCAATTAAAAAATAACAGCGAAGAGGAACCCACACCACTCTCCTGTGTAATGCCCACTGCAGCCAAGCTCTGTAATTTCACTACCAGGTTAGAGTTACTTTTACTGAAATAGGATATGAAAGTTGGTCTTCTCTTTTTTCCACCATTTCCTCAAAGATCTTTATCTTCACACAAAGTCAAAATATGCCATTTCAGATTTTCTTGACTTTGTGTGAGTCGAAGATTGGAAAGCTTAGCCGATTTCTCATACAATAGTGACATGTAAATGGTAAATGGCCTGTATTTATATAGCGCTTTACTAGTCCCTATGGACCCCAAAGCGCTTTACATATCCAGTCATCCACCCATTAACACACTGGTGATGGCAAGCTACATTGTAGCCACCCTGGGGCGCACTGACAGAGGCGAGGCTGCCGGACACTGGCGCCACCGGGCCCTCTGACCACCACCAGTAGGCAATGGGTAAAGTGTCTTGCCCAAGGACACATCACAGAGACTGTCCAAGCCGGGGCTCGAACCGGCAACCTTCCGATTACAAGGCGAACTCCCAACTCTTGAGCCACGATCACCCCAAATCCCAAGCCATGCCCTAAAATGTAACCTGCTTTGTCATTATTGTACACTGGAGTTGTCATTAGGCAACCAGAAGACTAACAAAATATCACCCCGTGTCCATCTTTCATATACAGTCTATGATGTCATTGTAGTTTTATCAGATTCCTACACCAGCAAAGCCAAAAGGCATCTAAGTAATCTGATTGGATTGTAATGTAAGATTGTTTGGAAGTGAAAGCGACGTACAAGCATCCAAACACACTAAACGATGTCAGCGTGTACAGCACAGTAACTTAGTTGCAATTTTTTTTTTAAGAGGACTTTAACTCGGGAAGCTGTAATTATTATTGTGATACATTTTAATTCAAGAAAGCTTAAACAAGCACTGAGAAATATTTTCCAAGTATTCTTTGACCAATTTCTTATTCCAAAAAGATCCTTGGAATCAGAAAATCGGTGACTGGATTGTTGGCTGCTTCATCTCCAGACGTGAACATTGCTTTATATCTTCTCTCTGTTGTCAGCGGTTAAACTTCGCCAAAGAACTTCTGCCAAAATTCCCACAGAGCTGCCTGTCACTCGCTGCGTCTTTTGCCCGAGAGTGACTTCACTGCAGATGTTCTTCCACTAGGTCAGACAGCTGGACAGATCACCATGGAAATGTGACTACACTCGCCGTGTTAGCTCTAGTTCTCATGATGCAGCAGGACCCTGTGATTGTACTGCGTCATGCATGATCCCGGTGCCACATTTGTAAGCCGGCAGCTGATCGCGTCAAAGGAATATTCGTATCTATGAATAAGGAAAGTAGAGCAGTGAAAATTTAAAACATCCCAGGGCAAAAAAAGATGTCAGCTGCGAGAACCTTGTGACTAATTCTGGTCAGGGTGTGACTCTTCTCAGACTAATCTGCTTTGGCTCAGTCTGAGCACCATCTGTACTGGAACAGGGCACGAGAATGAGAGCAGAGGAAGGCTCAGGAGATACAGTAAAAGTCCTCCAGCTAGCTAGCATTCACAGTAATAACTTCAAGGTGTATAAATGAACTACAGTGGTGCCACATGACTGAGTCACTGAGGAATAGTACTGGATTTAGTCAGGTGAACTCCCTTTTCTTAAGAAAAAGGGAGGGAATTAGGAAGAAAATGAAAATAAAAGCAAATGTTGTTAATTTCACAAGATACTGTTTGCTCACAGTGCTTCTAAAGAACTGGGTTTAAATGTAATAAAGTGGCAGACTTTATATTATATTTCCAGTTCAGGATTTCATGTTATTGTAAGGAGGCAGCACAGTGGTGTGGTGTTTAGCACCATTGCCTCACAATAAGAAGTTCTTGGGTTTGAATCCAGATGAACAGATGGATGGATGCCACCAACAAGCAAATGCTTTTCTTCTATATGAAGAAAATTCATTACACTGAAAATCGTCTGCAGATGGCTCGACTAACGGCAGCTGCAGAAGGCAGAAGGAACGGGAAAGGCTTCAATACTAAAGAAATCACTGTATCGAGTGGAGGAAGCGAGGCTGAGGAACAGTGTGAATTACAACCCTCCAATGTAGCCATGTATTGTAAAACTAAAGTGTTCTTTCACAAGGAAATGAATGTGTAATCAAATGTGTGTGTTTGATGTGTGTGTATCTTTTCTGTGTGTTTACAGAGAAGCTTGTGTTTGCATGTCTGCTTTCTGTCCAAATGAGCACCGCTCTATCCAAACACTGCTATCTCTGCAAGACAGAGAATGAGTCTGCCTCTGAATAGAAGAAAGTGTGACTTCAAAACTCATGAGAAATGTTGGCATTTTCCACAAAATTATGGCCTGGATAACAATGTCACATCGCTGGCGCAAGCCGTACTTGCAAGGCAGCTGTATGATTGTGTCAGATTTTTCTGGCATTTCAATGATATATCAACCTGACACAGATTATATTCAGGGAAATGTTTCAATAGTTTCATGGAAAAACTGAAGAATTCTGATTGCTTTGTTCTGGATTTTGGCTTCTTCTCCTACACCAGTGCTGATGTGGAGGTTCTGTGTGCAGTGCTGGTATTCATGGTGCATAACAGTGATGCCAAGAGTGGAGCAGGCATAAATGAACTGGGCTAATCAGCGCATGTCCTTGTGGTGTGTTTGGAAAGGGGGAGAAAAGGGATTGCATCCATCCTTTCATAACTTATAACTTGACTTACAAGTAACAAATCAATAACCAGCTACTCGTCCATGGGTGACTCCAACTTCACCATCTTAAACAAGTTAACTAACTATTAGACACATGAACGAGGTCTCCACTTGCTACAGGCTTTGGTTGGTGCATGCTTGCAGCAGATCTCCAGAGCAGGTGGAGGACTACTGTTAGTTGCATTGCATGATTGTAAAGTGGCAAAAGAAACAAAAAAGACCAAAAAAATAACAAGACATGTGACTTCTTCCTCATAATTGTGTATTAAGACACAGGACTCATAATAATCAGTAAGACAGTGACAAATTCCACAGGCTGAAAATGAAAATAAATGCAACCGTACATGTATCCGTGCAACTAGTTTTCTTATTAGAGAAAAGCCCCGCCCATATTGGACCCAAAATAGAGCAATGCTTTAATAAATCACTTGAGTGCACATGTGGGTAGCGTGTCCATGTCTGCAGTGATTGTTTTTGGTGTGTACGAGATTAGAGGATGAAATATGGTTAGGGGACTTTAGCTGGTTTTCATACCAAATGTATAATCTGTATTTCAAAGATAAAACTATTTATTAGTGGCAGTTTATTTTATACGATCAGGAAAGCACACAGTACAATAATATAGTCTTTTCTCCTAAGTGAATTTGCTGCTTGAATCAAAATCTCCATGTCATGTCATGGAGATTTTGATATTTTAATATGGGGGCAGCATGACGGCGCCGTGGTTAGCACCGTTGCCTCACAGCAAGAAATTCCTTGGGTCAAATCCACCGTCTGGCCTTTCTGTGTGGAGTCTGCATCTTCTCCCTGTGTCTGTATTGGTTTATTCGGCTGCTCCGGCTTCCTCCTACAGTCCAATGACATGCATGGGGTTAGGTTAATTGGTGATTATGAATTTGCCACAGTGTGGGTGAGTGAATGATTGTCTGTCTCTCTGTCTTAGCCATGTGACAAGCAGGTGACCTGTCCACGATGAGCCCCGCCTGTCACCCTGCAGCAGCTAGGA